ATAAAAATTTTTTTGATAATATTTGAAAATAAGGATTATATTCTAGTAGTATTTAATTTTATATTATAAGAAAAAAAAGTTTGGATTGCTTATAAGCCAAAAATAGAAAAAAATTTTAATCAAAAAATAATTTACAAATTCTTAACGAACTCTTTAAATATTAATTTTAAGTTTATCTCTTAAACCGTTTGAAATTCAGGGCAGATCTGCCCTGAAATTTTCCGATAATCACGTGTACTACAAGTATACAAAAAATTATAACATAAATGATACAATATGCTATAAATAAGTATGAAAATGCTATTTATTCAATTTATTTATGTTCATGGTACTTAATAAAGCAATCTGGGCGTTGCTTATTAATACATAAAGGAACGTTACACACTGTACACCATAAATAACTTTGTGGTGAATTCTTATCATGTTTTCCATGCTTAGCCATGTATTGAAACCGGCACCAAATGCAAGAACCTCTGTCTTCACGCCATTCCGGATAATGGCTTTGTGGTTGTAATCGTGCAATGGGTAAGTCAAATTTTTTTGTAACATAAAAAGACTTTTGTTCTGGACTTTGATTATGTAATTCTGATTGAATTTCGGCTTTTTTTTTTCGTGTATGTAATTTTTCATTCATTTCCAACGATTCTTCGACTAATTTCCATGCTAAATTTATTCTTAAATCTTTGTGTATCATGACCAAGTTAAGAACTTTTGAAATAAGGAAGGTATTAACAATACTAGTATCGAGGAGCCAAAAAAATAATGGCATCCAAGTGCGACGTACAGGTACTTGTGTACCATAATAGCCCCTTAATTGGTCGGCTATATCTACACCATCCATATGATGGTTATAATCATCAATTACAGCAGGTATGGGAAGAATTTTTTTACTTGCATCACCAAACACACTACGTACTTTGTTAGCATTAGTACTAGTTGTTCGTGGTCGTCGTCTTTCTCTTTCTACTCGACTTTCTTCACCTGTAATTTCATGTATTGTTGTTAACATATTTACTGGGCCGTTATCCATCCAGAACACAACTAATACATCATCTACAACAGCGCCGGAAAGAGTATCCCATTCTATCTTTTTCGATTTTTTAATTTTTAAAAAAGCAGGAAATTTCAAGGTATTACTTCTTACTGTCCCGCAACCACCGTACCCATTTTTTCGCATATAACTAAACAGATTTATGCTTGTAAAAAAATTATCCATGTAGATATCAAACGCCTTATTCTTCGGAAGTTGAGATATTAGATGATACACCTGACAGCCGACCTTATTAATATTTGGAATTGGATTTATTTCGGAATTAGGTTCAATACGGGAGGTGAAAATAAAACAGTAAGTATATCCTGAATCACATAATGAAAGTATTTAATATCCTTCTGGTGTGGGCTTATTTTTAATTCGTACTGTATGACTACTTCTTCCTTTAAATCTAGCAATCATTTCATCAATTGAAACCTGTGATTTTGGTAAGTAAATCGACTTTGAAACTTCCTGAATATGCGTAGCTAAAGGTTCAACTTTCGAATACCATGGTAATTGTAACGTTTTCGTTTCTATTTTTGAAATATGAAGATAGCGTTTTATCTTTTTTTTTTTAAAAAAAAAAAATTAAAATAAATTAATAAATAAAAATTTAAAAATAATTAAAAATAAATAACATAACTTGTTCGAATCGAACTAATGTCATATATTTAATAATTTTATGCTGTGGATATTTCCAATCCGTTTTCCAATAATCTTCCCGACTTGGCAGTTTAAAAACGCCCATGTAAATCACTAGAGCTAACCATATCAATAATTCTTCTACTGTTAAAGAAATCCATTCACGCCCTTTACCTGCAGATTTTGCTACAGCATAGTAATTTGTATTTTTAACAATAGTATTTAGCTGTAAATTAGAGAAAAATAAACGAAAAATCGAATGTGGTGTAACTTCAACAGCTAATTTATTAGACAATTTTATTTGAGAAGAATGATATGGTTTTGTATGTTGAAATTTTTGAAATAATGGTGGTGGTGGTAAGCTATTCAAATTCGAAAATTAAGATACTTTTTTTTTTTTTGTTCGATTATTGTTAGTTTCTTTCCCCCCTTTTTTTTTGTTCTTGCTATTTGTGGTTTCATTTTCAGATTCTTCATCAGTTTCATTTTCGGATTCTTCATCAGTTTTATCTCCAAATTCTTCTTCTGTATCACCGTCTGTAGGATCATCGACTGTGATTTCATTCTCGATTTTGGTAACGATTCGTGTAAGCTCAAAGGTATATAAATCGTTATCTTCAATATCTGCACTCATATTGCATCTAAAAATAAGAATGTGCAAAAAAAAAAAAAAATTTAATAACGATAAATAAATAGTGATAGAAAAAAGTTTTAATTTTAATTAAGGCAGCGTAGATGATGATCGAAACCTGAATATCGATCTGATGATCATAATTTCTGTACAATACAAGAAATTTATGAATTACTAAATAAAGTAAATTAGGAATTTTTTTAAAACCGGAATTTTTTAAAGCCTTAATTTATGTGATACAAGTGCTATGTGAGTTACCAATCAAAATTCAATATTTCAGGGCAGATTTGCAGAAGAAACGGTTTAAGGGTAAAGATTATTTAAATGGTAATGTATTATGATCTAGCGATCATAATTTAATGATTTTGGTACCATTCGACTCGTCTCGACGAGACGGTTAGAATGGTGTCAAAATCGTCAAATTTAGATCACCAGATCGTGATATATTTGCAAAAAACTATCTGCGACGCAGAAAAACTTAAATTTCTGTAGAGCTGCGTTTCAAATTGCTTTTGCAGATATCTCTCGGTCTAGTGAATAAAATTTGATGGTTTTGAC